AACTATCAAGTATTTGTGGCTAACTCATCTAAGATGTTAAACGGACATGTTAGCAAAGAAGCCTCAAAAAAAGGGAAAGTACTCAGTCTAGAGCTCCCCAAAGGAGGAGTCGGTGTCGTTTTTCTGTAGGAAATACACTGCAAAAGCAATGCCATGGTGAGAAGGAACATGGCTGGCCCACCCATGCGGACTTTGCCATCTTGGAGCCCCAATCTCCATGTTAAAAAAATAAAGTTTTAAAAAATATAGTAATATTAATAAAGTCTTAGCCATACCATCTGCCTTTTCATTTTGACGTGATTTGCGGTAAGCCTATGGAAGACATTACCCGTGTACTTAGCACGTGATAAATGTTTACTGGATTTTAACCTTTGCTGCTAAGAAAGCACAATACGAAAACGGTTATTAGCCAAAAATGAGACCAACAGAGCAATTAATGAAACCTGATTAAGGATATCCATTTCCCCAAAAGAAAAACAAAGGGTGTCTGCACCTTTGGGGGACACGCACCAGCCCTGACTTCATAACCAAACCAACACATAAGAAGAACACGACCACCACCACTTGCAACTGCCCACTGTAAGGTTGCTGGGGTCAACAAAAACACGGACACGGGGGCTTTAGACGTGCCAGAGGTGGAGACTAAAATTCGGCGTGAGCTTTTAAAGTTAATTAAACATTTTCTTATTTGTTCCGATGGCTCAAATACTCCAAGTGTGTCCTGGTGGCGTGCATGACTGTGTTACAGCTTAGACCTTCTGGTGCTTGTGAACAGTGCAAGGCCCAATAGCAGATACTCTGCTCATCAACCCTCAGCATGTGAGCGCTCCTCAGTACTCAAGAAAACGGGTAGCAAGATGATCAGGGCTTCAACAGGATTAACAAATACTAATACTTTACATGGTGTAGACTGAGGACTTTCTCCCTTTTTTGAGGTGACACACTGAGCACTGTCTATGCGTCAGGTACTATTCAATATATACCCAACTCTCAAGAAGTTCCCACTCCAACAAACTTAAGTGTGGTAATGATTAGTGAGTTAATGATTTATTAGCAAAATAAAACGAGAAAATGATAGTGCTTAATTAAATAGAGACCTCATGCTGGGTCACCCCTAAATTCTCTACATTATCAGAAAGAGACTTTCACCTGAGGAAGAATGTATTCTTCCCTCAGCACAGACTGCTGGGTAAGTGTGCAAATGCAACTATTCAACAATTTTGACCACATGTCATTTTTCTAATTATTAACAATGTGATAACTTCTTACTAGGGAAAAAGTGGCTTCATATTTTTATTTTGCCTGGTTCATTCCTGGTCAGGAAGATCAGTGATCTGGGTTCACAAAGTGAGGCTGTTTATAGAAGGGGTGACCTGGTACTGGCCTCTAACTCTTGGGAGATTATCTCAAGGGTAACTCAAAGAAAAGTGAAAATATCTTCAAGACCCCCAGTTTATTGCAACAAATAAATGATTTAGCTATTTCAGAGACTCAAATGTAAGACACATTAACAAGACTGAACATCTAATAGTACAATACCCTTCAGAAAGTCTCAATCTCATCATCAACACTGGGAAGTAAATTAAGTTCTCACGTAAATCAAAATCTTCCCTTTCAGGTAATACTAGGCTTAGGTAAATTCAACAGAAAAAAATATTCAGGTTGCATGACTTCTTATTGTCTCCACTTCCTTTTACGTTCATCTAGGTGTTCATTTATTTCTACAATTGCTTATAGCAAAGGTGAGATTTTTTTTCTGTATTAAATGTAACTATGAATAATTTACTAAACAGGTTGAAGGCAGATTGTATAGTTTGGTATAATTCAGTAATTCAATTAAAATATATAACAAATATGTGATGGTTCACAGGAAATATGGTAGCAGTAGAACTCAGGGGTAAGAAACCAATCACTGTACACAAATGAACACTGGTGTAAGAAAAAAAATTATCAATACGAAAAAATAGAATGATAAAAAAAAGGTCATCTTTTCCAACACAGATGAAAAAAGTCCCAAGTCAAAAGTGAAGGTCATCATACTGTACAGCACAAGAATCTTGGGCATTTACTTCCGATTATTTTGCCCTTGACTGGTGTAATTACAAAAAGCTCGAAGATTATCAAATATAATTGCTAAGGATTTAACCAACATTTTAGAACAAGAAACTGTAAGAAGTTAAGATGAAGATTCTCTGTAAGTGAACAGTTAGGTATACGTGGACACACTGACAGACATTCAAACTACTAAAAAGAAATGAAGGGCCAGCATCCACCTTCAGTGCCTACCAACGTTTCAATAAGGTCCTACTCTAGATTTACCAGAAGAGGACAGTGAACCAATTACCTCAGGACAACCAAACAGCCAACTAACATCAACATGAAGCTTCCAACCTTCTCATCTGAATACCCATCAGGTATATCAAGTTGTTTTGGAAATATATCTAGCTTTGTTCTAGGAATCTACACATTAAAAACTACTAAACTTTTCATTTAAAAAAAAAGTCTGTCTTGCTGGGAAAAAGACATCGTTTACAGCCCTTTTTTATAGCACTGTAAAATCAGTATTCTAGTTCCAGAAAACAGATCTTATACCCCAAATCTTCAAAGGCACAATTCTCTTCCACATGTAGCTGGCAAATAATAACTTGGCAAAAGACAAGCCAATTTTTAAAATTACTTATTTCTGATTTTTAAGAAAAGTCCCATCACATAGATAACGCAAACATACCGAAACTTACCAAATTCAATTTTTGCACTTGCAATAGTTGTTTCAGTAAAAAGCACTAAAAAGATCTATTCAAGAAGAGAATTCTCCTTAGTAAGAATGTAACTTTTTTTTTTTAACATATGTAAAGAGCCCTGAAAACAAAAAGTCATTCTTGTTCCAAAATGAGTTTGGACTCAAAGACTTAATACCGGTAGTGTGTGTTCTCCCTCAAGAGGCAACTGTGAAGGTGTGTCACAGAGGGGTGACCATTTAGGTCCTGCCCACAAAAGCAATGAAGTTATAGTAAAAGGAGATTTGATTCAATTTAATAAATCAATACTTTATGAGACCACTCTTACAACTTTAATCACTAAGCCAAATAAGTGATCTGCTGCTTTGTCTCTCTTTCAAACTTTGCATTCCATGGTCAAAAAGTGCCAAACAAAAGTTAAGTTCAATATTTGGTCTATTTTGTTACCAGTACAGTTTGTTGACATACATATTTAACTCCTATAAAAACTAGCCTTTAGATCCTTATGCTAATTCTAATATTCCTCACGTAAGATCTAACTTGATAGTGAATTCTATAACCACAAAGACATTACAAGTTAGGTAGGCTGACTGCCAATCAAATTAGCCCTAACATGGCTTCGTATCAAAAGTTAAGTTATAGTAGGAGTGGACACTTAAGAAATAACTTTATCTTAGAAAGGAAAACAGACATCAGCCACCCTAAACTTCAAGCTTATTACCCAAAACATATGATGTACCCTCTTAGACAACACTGCCACATTAGCACATAAACAAAAACAAAAAGGATGCTAGGTAAGAAAGCACTGAAGTGTGCAACAGGTAGCAATCACTGCAATAAAAAAAAAATCTTATCAGGATAAGGACAAAAATCAGGGATTCCTTGGCTCTCCTGACTGCTACCTCCCTGCATTGTTAAAAAATGTATAAACTCTTGCCTGCGGAAAGGCCCTTCTCTTAAAAGATTAGGTTCCAAAAACTCCCCCAAATATTTTATGTAACAGTTCAGCAATCCTACAAGCCTGAAATAATAAAAATGAATTCCGTATTAGTAAAACTACCTGAAAAGTTTTGTAGCATCCTTTCTTTTCTTTTCCCAAAGAAAAATTTAATTCAAAATGTCAACACAATGTACAAAATCACACTGATCTACCTTATTTTTTAAAAGTTAGAACTAAAGCATTGTAATCTCAACATGTAAATTAGGAGGCAAATCTCTGAAAAAAGGCTTGCCAGAACACATACTTGCCAGATTTACTTGTCCATACACTGCACATCTTTTCAACAGTCACACTGAAAATAAAAACAAACCTCCAAAAGCAGACTTTCCTTAAGAAGAATGGATATCACCAGAAAATAGATTAGAAAATCATTCTTTTTTTCTTTCAACTAAATATAAAACACAGAGCCAAATAAAGCCGCCATAAATTTATTTACTAAATCATCTTCTAGGTCATTCAGCTCAGCAATTTTCATAATACAATACTATGGCTTTCCTCATGCCCAACTCTAGAAATACAAATTCAAAAGTCTGAAATGAATATATGTGAGAATATTAATGAAATGCTCTTTGACTAGAGGAAAGAAAAATAAAATTTTTAAACTCCAATAGGGAAATCCTGAGAGAAAGCAGGACCTAAAGGGGCAAGTATTCATATGTACACAAAAGCTAATCCCTTCCACATCTTTATTAAGTCTTTCTGACTTAATACATGATCTATCTCATATACTACTCCCAAATACAAAATACTGAATGTTATCATCATCCAATATTCCATCTTTGCTCAATCTCCTACAGCCCTCCAAACCTACCAGTGTTGATTTGCAAAGAAAGAAAATCCACAGGACTTCCTGGCAGTTCACAACCAGCACTATGTCACCAAAAAAAAAAAAAAAAAAAAAAAAAACAATGGTATAGCGCTATCCTTCCCCAAAGTTTTATATTCTAAACTAAAACTTGCATTCTAAACTAAACTCAGATTTATTACAGTCACAATTGCAAAATTGGGAGTCCCTGTCATATTGCAATCTGCAAAATCCTTTGATTTACAATAGTGGCCTCTACAGGGATTAAAGGCAACACGTAAGTCAGCCTGGTGAGATTCTCACCAGGGGCCTAAAAAACCGGGAGCTATTAATATGCCTTCCCTCTGCCCCTGATGCACATAAGGCCCCCTGAAAAGTTAGGGTCACAGTATGCTCACTAATGGAAACAATAGTTGCTCTGCCTCAAAATGGAAAAAAAGGACGGAAAAACACTAACCAGTCTCTGGCTGTAGCGAATCCTTTCTTCTTCAGGTTCCATCTCTCACTCTTCTGTTGGAATACTGTAGAGAAACCACTCCAGGGTTGCCTTCCTCTTCCTCCTCAGGAACGATTGCAGCACTAGAGAGAAACGACAGGCGCAGAGGTAAGAACTTAGACTCAAAGTCAAGCTCTGCTCTCAGGGAGAGCAGTGTATAAAATGTGTGCCAAGGCTCCCTCGGAAACCTGCCCCTCTCATCAGCTCAAGACCACTGTCCAGTCGGGAGCAGTCCCACGTCCAGACCCAATCACCCTCTGGCTGTGGGAGGCCTAGGCGAGATTGCTTTCAGTTCTCTGGATGGGCCGGGCCGCCGGGTTCTCCCCGCAGGATTACAATTAGCGTCGTTCCCCTTCGTGGCAGCCTCAGAAAAAGGGGGAGGGGGCGGACTTCTATCTCCCGAGAGCCGGCCAGGTGAAGGAAGCCGCGAGCCACGGCGGCCCTAGCCGGCTGGGCGAGAAACCACGGGGCGGCGGGCCGACCAGCAGCAGAAAGCGGGCAGAGACGCGATTTAAAGCCCCTCGGCCGTCCAGGAAGCCCCGCCGCCGCCTGCCTTCCCACCCCGGCACGCTGTGGGCAACTCTAACTGGCTCAGGAGTTGCAGATCGGAGACAAAAAGCCCGTCGGAGCCTCTGGCAAACAACGACGCCCCGTGGGCGGGGGGCACACACCTCCCCAGACACCCGTGGGGGCCGGGGCGCGAGGCCAGGCCGAGCGTGGGCCCGGCGGGGCTGCGCCTTCTCCTGCTCTCGCTCCCGGCTAATGGCTTCCAGAGGAAAAGCAGCGTCGCCCCTGTAACTACCGCTCGGCCACGTTCACGGCATCCTTTCAGGACGCTCGGGGCCGGGCGCCGTGACACAGTTGGCGAGCACGGTCGCCGAGGCCGGCCGGCCGGCCGGAGGGCC